CATATTTTGCGTTAGGTTTCAGATCAAAATGTGAGTAAGTTTGAATAATTCTAGCGTACGCTATAACCATGGTCAGTGAACACTGGAACAATAACCTCTTTCCTTTCCCGCGCTTTGTAAGAAAAATTCAAAGCTTCCGGATTCCATGACGCTGTACGAAGACGATGATCACCTCAGGTGACAGTCTTATTCAGCTTCGTTCTTTGCATAACTGACGGACTGGTCTAAACGGTTTTAGTCGAGCGAAGCCCGGTCACGGATTGAATCCTCTTTTAGTGGCCACAAAGTAGCTATTGAATTACCCGCTTTAGCAATTGATAGATATGTGACAAACACCGAAGCAAGTAAAATGTTGTTTTAATCCGTCTTTAAAGATCCCGCGAAACACCTGCTCATGGAGACAACTTTTTTGGAACAGACTTCACTGCAGAATGAAGAAAGACCAGTACACTCATTTGGAAATCTTTTTGGTTTTCCCTGGAGACTCAAGTGAATCTCTTGTGCTTTCGATGTTCTTCAGCTGAATGTGCTGCACAGCATCCTTGTGGGTAGTTTGCTTTATGAAAATATTCTGCGATATCTCGAATATCGTGCCAACTGAAACATGAGGCGGCCTGTGTGCAGCACATTCAGTTGTAGAATAGCATAAACGAGAGATTCAGTCGAATTTCTTGTGATAAAACCAGAGTGATTTGCAAATGAGTCTATTTGTCGAAATCAGTTCAATTGGGATTCAAGTAGAACAGAAAGTTGATGGAAACTCGGGGACTGCGCCTACCTGATGAGCCAAAAGTGGAAGGGCGAAACCGATCGTGAGCTGTCGAAGGACGGTTGGCAACCCGGAAAGACCAAATCAGGAGGCATCAAAAACTAATGGCAAAGCGGAAGCTAGACAGTTAACCTGGCTGGAACCTTGTTTATTTTTTCATAAACGTCATTGCTGAACGCGTCAGACGTGCTTTCATCACACGAGTGTGTCATAATCGACTGAGGTAACTGAAATAACGTTCGCGCACGTAGACTTTTTCACTTTAATTTCCAATCGCCGTGCACGCATTCAGTTAAGACTATCTTCATGGGGAAATAGTAATGAGACGGGCATACCAGTCACATCAGTCACGTGTGAACACGTTCGCCTGTTCACACGTGAAAATTCAGTGGCGTCAAACCTGCCTTGGTGGAGTAGTGCTTACACGCTTGCCTCGCATGTCAGATGTCTGGGGTTCAAATCCCGGGGTATGCATCGCTGATGAGCTCTAATAAGTGCGAAACTCGAGCCCAGTGCTTCACTTTGGTGTGGACTCACCGAGATAATTACGCCAGAACGGGAACATGGCCGTTCAAACGAGAATGGTGTGACTATGAACAAAATAACAACCCCGCAAAACCCCAAAATTGCAACCAAGAAGCTTCCGAGTGGGTTTCAATTGTGTGCCACGCTACCTGACTGGGAAGTCCTGACTGGCGGGTCAATCGATCGTCCCAACCAGGACAGTTTCTGGGTCGTCGCTCGATGAGTCGGACACACCAATCACATCGCTCAAGTGTGAACACGTTCGACTGTTCAGACGTGATAATTCAGATGCGTCCAATGTGTGTTAGTGGAGTAGTGGTCACACACTCGCCCCGCATGTCAGATGTCCGGGGTTCAAATCCCGGCACAGTCATTGGATATGCAATGCTGATAAAGCTCTAATTAGGGTGAAATTCGAGTCGAGTGCATGCTTCCCTTTGGTGTGAACTCACCGGAACAATTACGCCAGATTAGCCGTTCAGACAAGCGTGGTGTGACTATGAACAGAAATAGTAATGATTTAAAGGCAATTGCTCACGTTCGACACTCGTGGGGAACAAGAACGTACGAGAACTGAGCTACTTGAAGGTTAATGAAGCCCAGATAGGATCCGTAGCTGTACGCCCTAACCTGCCCCGTTCTCATTAACGGGGATCTAACACGCACGCAACCAAACCGTGCTGGCTAATCTGGCACTGGACCTGTCTAAAATTGGAGCTAGTAGGATGACAAACACCCAAGTAACTTTGTAGTTTACTTCATAAATTCCATCCTGCTAGACTTTGTAGTTTACTTCATAAATTCCATCCAGATGGATACATTGAAGTTATATTCCTGCTAAGTGCTAGCAACGATATCCGCACACTGTCATTCGACTCAAAAAGTGACAATGTTTGACGCACGCTAAGACCGCAACTCACCTAAATAGAGAACACGTGACTCATAAACTAAGGATTTACTTAGCCGAATTCCGTATATCACGGTCTCCGGGCAAACTACCGGGCCAATAATCAGCCTCGATAGCGTACGTCGCGGTATGTCGCACACAAACTTAAAGTGGGTCAATTCCTATGCCTTGGAGCTTTTTCAGGATTTTTCTGGAAAGTGGTCTTCCTTTGGAGGAAGTCTGCCATCAGAATGGGCTTCGGGAATCCAGCTGAAACTTGATTGATTAACATTTGTGGCCATACCGAGGCCCGACTGGGCTTGATGAAACCACACAAAGGGAACGGAGGACCGCCGCTCTTGCGGAACAGGTGCACTCAACAGACCAGTAAAGTCATGGAACACTGTACGTTCATAGGTACCAAGCTCTCCGATGCCCAGTTTTCGGCAAAACTATCGCGCAGAAATGGCACGATGAAGTCTACTGGGGTGGGCTCCAGAAAACTGGTTGTACTTGTTGAAATAAGGTCCAATGGATTTCCCGCTCTCCGAGCACATGTGTCTCATCCGAGAAATGCCATCCCTAATAAAATATCCGTTTTGTTCGGTTAAGTGAGGCTAGGACTGATAATCGGGACCCACTGAGGTAAGGAGATTTTCATAGCCTTTCCAGTGTCCTTCACAGGAAGAAGGGTGTGGGGAGGCTCCTGGAAACCTGAATTCTGGTCATGAGAACATCAGCTTTTTTGTCCTGATCTTCGTTTAGAGGCCATACATAGTGGCCACTGATGGGAAGTGGAGAGTCGTTCGCTCAGACGTCATCAACTCCAGAGTAACTCTCGTGATACCTAACTGGTCCGAACATTTGCACGCTAATTTGGTTTCTACGAAGAACTCAGTTGAATCTTTCACTCGTACAATGTTCTTACTCAGGTGAATGTGCTGCACCAGACCGCCTAATGTTTCAGTTGGTACGATATCCGAGACAACGCAATGCATGATACAGACGTGACACACTACTCATAAGGTTGCTGAAAACTTTTCTGCAACCCACGACTCGCTTCGCCTTTGTGAGGGATCACCCGGTAGGCTCACTCGCTGAGTTTCTACCAACAGTATGCTCTGCTTGAATACCAATTGCACGAAACTCGACAAATGGAGTAATTTGCAAACCAACTTGCTTTTCTCGTTTATAAGATGTTCTTCTTAGACGAGAAGACGCATGAACAAGGTGGTATTAGTGAGAAAAAACTTGCTTATTCATCGTCGAGGAGCATGCAGGACGTGTTGTATCCAGCTCCGAAACTCAACCACTTTGAACAACATATGACCATTTTAACGTCCATGGTTCATTCCTCTGTGCTTGGTCTACTGTTCTCCAGATTAACGTACCCATCATTTCTGTTCAGCTACAGATAGTTAGATCAAAATGTCACTAACCGTGCTTCTCCATTATCGCTCCTAGTTGCGAGGGAACATTGCAGACTTTTAAGAAGTCACCATCATTATTCTATGCATTTTTTCTTGAGTGTTTGACTGTCACATACTGATGGCTCGTACGCACCATGCCAGGCCATCTTCTGCCACCTCCAGTCAGCACGAGGATTGCTCTTCTCACATTGCAAACAATTTGCTGGAACGCATGGCAGCACAAGGCCTTCGTTCTCTAAGTGAGGCCGATTTATTCTAAAAAGCCGAGACGCACTATACAGCTGTTTCTTCTTTGATGAGCATCGCCAACAGTGCGCATCTCACGAAACTCCAGTGGGGATTGTCGAACCCGTGTCCAACCGAATAGTCGTCTGGACATTTAATCGATCAGATTTGATATTGAAATCCAAGTTGGTGAACGTTCACAAACCGTCAACACGTGACCACGTGACGTGAAGTTCATGACTGATGGACCAATGGCGCTGTATATTATCGGAGTGAAAGCTACTCACAATGGTGATTGGTCACTCATGGTCATGTTTAATCAGTGGCCGGAAGGTATTGGGTTCGAGATGCTGATTCCCAACTGTGCAGTGTTTTTCGGTTTCTCATTATAGATTATTCCACTTACAGACTAAAAACGTTGAAAAATTACGAAATGCCAGTGGCATAGAACATGAAGTCTGGTAGAAACTATTCATGGAGTTTACTAGTGTAAAGGGAAAGCAGATCGCCCCGAAGTCATTCATTAGAGAACACCAAATAAACAGTTACAAACTATTGGATAGGAAAGTAAACATCTCATATATACATACTCACGCGTCTTCTTGAACTTTCGTTGATATTCGTTTACTATCATGAACTTGTAAACGAACATTGCAAAGCAGTCCCACGAGTTCCGTACTAAACTCCACTTCCATTAAACGCGAGGCGGAGTTACGAGAATGCCACATACTACTCGCAAACTCATCAGAAGTAGACGCCGTTCCCTAGTACAAACAGCACAACATGCTTTAGACAGATCACCACACGAGAGCGGATAGACAGCAGCGTTCGCTCGGGCACTGGATCAATAGATAGAGCCAATCACTTTGATGCACCGGCCGGTGACCCCAACCGCCTACGCATCGTGTATGAGTAACAGCGACGCCTGTGTAACAGGACGTAGAACACGAGCAGAGATATATCAAGAGAAAAGAGGGTAGGTAAGGGACAGATGAGTCCTACCGTTTTGTGCTCAAATTGTACCACCATCCATTCAAGTGAAAATTTGGGAAGCCCTTTCCCAAGTACTTGATGACGAGTTCCTAGAACTCTTTTAGGTTATCCTCAGAACCCTTGAGGATGCGGTCGACCATCGTGCTAGAGTCCAAGATGAACTCTCCTCGTAATGCCTCTTTTTGGTTTCCCTCCCTCACCTGGTCGACATTCGGAAGAACATTATGTCACCAAAGAATCTGGTGCAACTGTTGAAATCAGTTGCAATAGACGTACGAACAAAAGTGCCATTCATCCTGTCCGTCCTAGCAATTGTGTGCGGGATCGCTTCCTTCGCGCTAATCATCATCCTGGTGATTCGAGGACGAATCCATCGATTTCGGAACAACGCTCAGAAGACATTGCAAATGACCAGATTAGGTGATCCGGGAAAGCCGACATTCCCACATGCTCATCAGTCAGATCCCAAACCCGGTGAGACTCTACCAGTAGTAACATAAATTCGAGTAAGTCCTCTGGCAATAATTTTATCCGTTTTTGTTAATATCGAATTTCAAAAACCTCCAAAATTAACGGTCATCACATCAGCCGTGTCGACCTGTCTTTCTACCTTGACCGGGACAGCTTTACATGACCTTGAGGGTAGTGGGGCGTGAGCGGTTATGGTGTGAAAACTGGCTGCAACCATCCATGATTGAACAGTTCTTCGAGCCCAGCTATCAGCTCAATGTTGATAGGTTTGTGAGTCTGCTCTCTACGGCATTACTTGGCTCATTGACATGCCTTCTGTGTCATTAGTCGCCGACGAATGTTCACGTGTGTGTGTGTGCGCAGTGTTAGATAATACACATATTCTCGAGGAGATCTTCAGTGGACCTGGTGGGCAGGAGAGCGCGAGAGACCTATCATCAGGCCAAGTGACGCGTTAGGGTCTACGGACTACTTTCCTTCTGGACGCTGCTTTTCGAGCGAAGACTTCTTAAGGTTGATGATAAAAATGCTTAGGGATGAGCATGTGTTAGATGAACCCCGTAAGAGAGGAAAAGCGGCAGTAAAAATATCATCTGAGCAGGAGGGACATGGTGCAACAAATGTGACTTCTTAACTAAACTACTCAAAACCAGTCAGTAGCACAATGTGAGGTCGAATTAAGCAAGGGCACACTCAGGCACAGATTTACGTGACTGTAACGGCATCCTCTCTATTGAGCAGTACGCTGCTGGCTCAGGTAGCGTACACTTTGTTAATGCTCTAACGGAACCCGAAAACTAGTTGTATGAACGAGAAAACGGTGAGCACTAGCAAAATCAGCTTGTTGAGTAAAAATTATTACAATAGGTGTATATGCAAACAAGGGACTTATCGTTTTGCAGGTACAGTTTGATAAATCCTCTTGTGAGCTCGGATGCAGGTTTTGTGTTTTCTGCGCTGTTGTATTAGCCACACGTATTCCTGAATATCCGTGAGTGAAAAGCCGTAGGTCCCAAGCGGCTCCGCTCCGAGCTGGGTGACCTGCGAAGCTCCGTTGAGTTGTGTTGCTGTGCTGGTATCCTATTTGTAGGAATGTTTGCGTGTGTGTGGGTATCAGCACATGACTTGTTGCTACCGTATCAGACGGTAGACTGTCGATATCGGATGAGTCACCCTTGTGTATCGTGGATTGTATGTCAACAATGCCGGTCTATTTCTAGACCTCCAAGGAAATCACGATGAAATCATCCTTCCGGTTAACGTCACATGATCATTCAGTTGAGTCAAACAAAACCTCACCAGAGAAACAATAACAGAAGTTGAGTGGTTGGTCTGTTGACCGAGCTTGGCAGTTGGATTGCAAACATCCCACCCGTATGAAATGGCAGTGTGTCCAAGCCTCTCACATTCGGCAATAACGCCAAGATCGAAAGAAATTCGGGTTAATCCAAACACATCAAGATCCATGAGAACCGAAAGTTTGTGCAAGCTGTCAGACTGTTATAAAAACCGAAAGAAACCCGTTCAGCTGTAGCACTCTTCCGGCGCCTAGCTGCCATGCCACCCGAAGGAAGCTCGAGGGCTTGGATATTGCCAGGTTGCCCAAGCCTAGACAGGGGAATTCGAGAGACGGAGGTGGGATTCGAACAATGGACCTTCCGGTCAGTAAATTCGCGTTCCTACCACTTGGACCGTCTCGCCCCGTCAGACAAGAATATCAACGGCTAAATGTGACTCTGGTGAGATCTCCAATACCGGGCGTTGGTGCGGAAGCGGTGGTGAAGAGAATGGATTGTGTGGCGCCACCAATCATCGATCTTATGTTATGCGGCCGTTATGCAACGACATTCGGTGTTCAGAAACTGGTCAGAAACTACGTTTGATGATGTCAAATTTACAACTGAACTGGAAATGAACGACCGTTCCCAAGAAGAAATATACATGGGACTCTGGAGGCTTGCGCTTCCTGGAAAGAGGCACAGTCATTCAGCAAACAACAAGAAGAACTTCGTCCCAACCCCGTTCAACACGACGGAGACACATTGCAGTAGGAGAGAACTGAGTAAGAAGACCATGCATTTAGAGCACTCCAGGAACTTGGATATCTAAGGATTGAAGAAGATCAGCAATGGAGGCAACAGAATCAGCCTAGAATGACTGCAGTGTGTTTTCCCATATCAGCCTCTAATGCTGGAGGGATAATGCAGAGATTGGAGGGAACAAAAAGCCATCATTCTTGGACGTTTCAATGAACACGAAGTTGGATAGCAATCTCGAAACTTGCGTAGGCCGAAAAGAGACGCATCTAAACCAAATACTGAACTATAATAGCAGAAAAATCGATAAATAGAGGAAATCGCTCAGCTGTAGCCCCCTTCCGGGGCCTAGCTGCAACACCAACAGAAAGGGGCACGAGGGCTAGGATTCTACCACGCTGCTCAAGCCTGGATTGGGGAAATCGGGTTCAAACCACGTACCTTCCGGTCAGTAAATTAGCGCTCTAACCGCTTGAGCCATGTTACCCCTAAAACTGCATTTCCAACGGACAACAAGGAGATTTGCATCTAGACACTGATCAACAAGATAGACATATGGCCACTGAGTAAGTATGTCATTTGTTCAGAGGAAATATCAGCTATCCAGGAAAATAGACATCAAAGGATTTTTATCGAGACAGGCTTGAAGAAAAGCCTACCTATACAAGCTGTAGCACCCTTTCGGTGTCTAACTGCCATGCCACCCGAAGGCTGCACGAGGGCTGGGATACTGCCAGGTTGCCCAAACCTAGACAGGGGAAATCGAGAGGCAGAGGTCGGGTTCGAACGACGGATCTTCCGGTCAGTAAATCCGCGCTCTAACCGCTTGGGCCATCTTCCCTACCTATACAAGAGCAAGAGACATTATGGTTATTCCGGACCAGATTACTAGCTTAAAATGAAATCCCCGTGGTTTGCAACCGTAATGTCACGTGACCGAGACTGCTCTCGAACCGAACGACAACAAATATAAAAGTTAGACGAACAATTTGTACGAAATGGACTGCAGCAAGTTCTACGTAGAACACCCTGGAGGGGAATGATGTCCAAGAACGAAGGAACACAACGCGGGCGTTAGGAGACATGGCACTTTATTCTTGATATCAATACATGAAGACATTGTCAGTCATGTCCCAGCGATCATGCATCCAAGCAATTGCCTTCAGTGCATAGCTCCCTTCCCAATCGCCTACCTGACACTCCACTGGTAGTGCTGTATTTCCGCACAAATTTATCAGCTCCCGCCTCCAATGCGCAGCTACCTACCCCACCTCCCGAAATCATCGATGGACGGAACTGTGGTAGCCACAACCACCGTACCACAAGTCGCGCTTCTTACAGCTGACAATGATGATGATGAAACATGAAGACTAGAAGGATCACAACTTCCATCTGGAAGACGCAAAAGTCTTGCCACGCTGATATATGGAATGAAATTTCCGGAAGTATGGTACCACATGACGAACAGCATCAAGGTTGGGATTGCTTCTTTCGCTTGAAGGAACACTCAGAACCTGGTCGCCCACCACGGTTGCTCACAATCCGCACAGTCAAATCAAACCCAGTGGCTAGGTCAACATCAACAAACTCGGTTTCAACTCTTTGAGGGTTCCAATTCTGAGCCTTCCAGTAGTCGCCTAAGTCCTGTAAGGTCATCTACTCAAAGTATGTACATGCTCCTATCAATATCCCAGCTATCAAACTCCTAACGGTGACTAGCGTTATCTGGGTAGTCGGGGTAATCTGACATATTTACACAACACATCGAAGGTTTGTCTGGCTATAACAGCCAAGCCGTGCGACGTCTTCGGGAATAACTTTCTGGAGCGACAGCTGAAAAGTTTATCACACCACCGCGGAGATGATGTTATATCGAAAGACCGACAGGACTGTCTTTGCCCGGTAACAAAACGCAACGTCTGTTTATTCACACGTTCACATCATTCTTGTTCGAACAGCCTCCAGTTACCCTAGTTATTCTGGTGAGTCCACACAAAAGGGGAAAGCGATTAAGACGAATTTCACTCTTATTGGAGCTCATCAGCATTGCATACTCATGCCGGGGTTCGAACTCCGTGCATATGTGGACGCTCTGTACACTCTACAGAATAACTGCGTCAAATCTAGAAGGCGACTGTTCACATGAGAGTGGTATGACCGTGAATTGTACAAATGTCGCAACCACTTACAACATGTGTCTATTGAAATACACTCATTTGCAAACAAAGTTGGTTTTTTGAGACACTCACTTGGAACCCAGCTAAATCGATCGTTTATGATATTTCTAAGCAAATGAATGTATTGCGCCAGGCCGCCATGTGTTTCAGTTAGTTTGATATTCGAGATATCGAAACACGTGTAGACGTAATACACTACTCATAAAGTTCCATCAACCTTATGAGTAATGTATTACGTCTAAACATCGGTCAATTTTTCTCGCCATATGAATTAACTGGGCCACGTAGCCCGGGTTTTTCTAAACTCAGCAATATTAAACAAACAGCGATTGTCGCTTTGGTTTGGGGTGGCTACCAATAATGCGTCTTCAGCTTAGGTCTTCTTTCAGAACCTCGGTAATGGTCCCAGGAAAATCAATTCATTAGGGACCGCAAATTGGGTGAAGGAATTCTTGAACACATGGTCTAAGTTCCCCACCCCTCCAATAAGGGAGCGGCAGAGCCACAGCCATAGTAGAAAATGGAAGGTGACTGAGGATTCTGAGGGGGATGATTAGGAACCTATCTATTAGGAGAACCAGCTCCGAACGTAATGGGCTACATAACAGCCAATGAAATAACCGTTTTCGCTGAGACAGATTTCATTGGTCAATCTTCACTCGCCCTTGACAGATGAGTTGTATTCTTAGTATCACTTTTTGACTCGCTTGTACGCGACAGTGATCAATAGAGCAGCTGGC